GTGCAGATACCGTTACTCACCATTGCCAATTCGGGATCCATGCTCGGGTCGACGCCAAATTCGAAGCCTCCTCCACCGCCTCCGCTTGCGCCACCTTCACCACCCTCGCCCGACCCGCCTCCAGCGCCCTCTTCCATTAAGATTGGACTGCTCAGGATCAGATCGCTCAGCAGTTGCGGAGAAGGTGGAATCGTTAAGAGGTGTCTGTTTGTGGCGAGAGATAGAATTCGGTGAGACTCGATTTCTGTCAATCGTTCGTCAATATGAAGTGAAGTGCTGAGAAAGATGCTCACGAGTTGCCTCCGTTGTCCACGTTTTCGATCAAAGCCCTGAGGGCCTCTTCGTTCCCTTCGACCTCCCCAAAGCTGACGACGTCTACGGCCACATTGTTTTTCTTGAGCTTCCGTGCGATGCGTGCAAGCGATTCGGAAGTGTCGTTGATCGGACTGCCGACAAATAGGATGATGCGTTGCCTTTGAGTCTTGTTCTGACGATGTTTGAGGGCAAGCTGCAATGAGGCAATGAGACCGGTCAGTACGCGGGAAACGCTTGGCATAGAGCGGCTGACGAACAGAGACTTACCGAAGCGACATTGATGCCGGTGGCAAGGTCGGAAGATCCTATCAGTTTGGAGGAATGCAGAGCTGCGAGAATTTTGCCCATGTCCTGAGTGAGAGTCGCCAGGACCTCGGGGCTGCAGCGATGGGACGTAAAAACCGTCGAGTGCTTCTTTGTGAGCTTTACGCTCCATTGCATATCTTTTCGTGGTGTCCCTTCACCCATTGATTGGCCTCAAGGCAGGTCTTGCTAGGCCATGATGCCGGTCCACGCTGATTTTGATCGCCCACCAACTCACCTCTTTCCAGCCATTGTTAGGCACCCGACCATGTTCTCTGGGTGAGAATTGGTCTTGGCATCAAATACGATGTTCACCGCATCCACCTGAGCATCCCAGCGAGTTGGTGTGTAATCCCCATTTCGCATGTATTCGCTGTTGTCCAGCCTGCGTGGGGGATGGCCGCAACTCCACCGATGAGATATTTTCTCTCGTGCATCCGCTCCTACCAAGCTCGCGGCGTCCCACTTACACAAGCATCGTCGCTTCGAGAACCATTTTGGGCGAAGTGATCCGAACGTGTCCCTGACCTTTGTCTGCTTGCGCGTGACCCGAGCCTGAATGACGAGACGAGGCGAGCTCGCAAATGGCGCGTCTGCTAGCAAGTATTTGGGATCGTTCCGTACACGACTCCAGAGGTCCTAATGATCGGGCTTGCGGGCGTATGAAAGGAGAGGGAGGCGAAGTGACGACGGGGTACGTGGAGGTTGATATCGCTGAGAGGCAAGAAAGAGTCTTGAGTCATGAGTGAAGGTGCATGGAGACGTTGCGCAACGTGCAGTCAGAAGTACGCGCTTGCGTATTCCACTCACGTGACGCGTCACTTGCGCTCGGGCCATGCTAGCCGGGCGAGAAGTCCCTCACGTCAGCGCTGGCGCGTACACGACCCAGCGAGCCGATGACGTTCTGATGACCTTCTTGCTCGACTTTCTCGCACAGCCACGTCTGAATCTCTGCGGCCACGCAGAAGCAAGCCCTCTGCCCTTTGAGCGCGTTTTGGTACTCGTGTTGATGGTGGAGCAAGCGTTTCGCTCGGATTTCCATGCGCTGACGGCGCCCTCACACACCACACGACTCAGCAGAGACAGCGGCCCACTGCACCGCCGCGATACTTCGTACAGCATTTACTTCACGATTGGTTCAAATAAGTCAGCGCAAGCAGGAACCGCGGGCGAGGATCTCTACATCAAGCAAGCAGTCACTCAGTCTAACACCTAGACACCTAGATTCGCTACAAGAGGCGCCTGCTCCCATACACATTGCTGAACCCGCTTTCGTTCCCCACCGCAATACGCATCTCACGCTTCTCACGAGACGCATCGCACCCTCTCATCTCCACGCAATCCTCTACCAACATGGACGACTACTACGACTCGGATTCGGACTCCGAGAGCAGCGTTTCCTTTGGCGAGAGCGAGAGTGAAGACGACGTCGACATGATCGGCGCTGCGCCCAAAGTCCGCGCGGAGCGTACGCAGGCGAAGCAAAAACGATCTAGGCGTCCGAGCTGGAAGGATGACAGAAAGAAATTGATGGATCTTCACATGACGCAGAAGCTGCCTTATGCTGAGAGGTGCGAGTCGGCGGAGGATTTTGATCGACGTCTGGCTCTCATCGTCAGCAAGGTGGTGGCTTGCATACGATCTCAAGAGTAAGTGGGAGGAGCTTGTATGCTCGCGAGAGATCTAGCAGGCAGTGTTGATTGACCACACCTACCTCCGATGCTAGCATGAGTCCAGGGTTCATGTTCTGGACACTGTGTCTCAAGTATCTTCTGAGTCTCAGGTAGTGCGTACGGTCCGGTCAAGCTCGTTGGACCTCTCGCTCAAAGCTCACCCTCGTCCGGTCTCGCGCTCGCCACTCGCATTGTCAGTCCGATGGAACGACGAACGCGGGCTCGCTTGATCCGCCTTTACTACCACGTCGCCTTGACACCTGCTCTCGACTATCGATACGCAAACGAAGCTATCAGCGTATGCTGTAGTCTTGCCTCGTGAGTTGCGAATTTCCCCTAAAACCGCATCTGCACCTCTGACAGAGCGCTTCCTTCGCGTTAGCAGCTCTGAAAAGACGCTCGACTCGAGGCATCTGGTGCTTCCTTGGCGCCCACTCTACGAGGAGATCGAGAGAGAGCACAATCCAAAGGGAAGCAGTCTGTTTCAACGTGGCTTGAAGCTCAAGTTCTTCGCCCTTGCTGGGCACCTCAGACGTTTCTTCGATCCTGACGACACCCACGACATGCTCGAAGAGTTTCTGCCGCAGATCAACGGCAACACAATGGAGGTGAGCAGCCATAGTCATGATTTTAACTCACTCGTTTCTCTCCCTATGCGTATGACTCGACAGAAGCTGATCTATACTCTCGTGCACTTACAGGGCATCACCACCGCCCTTTCGCTCATGGCCCACTTCATGCCGTTGCGTGCATCGCATGTGTATTTGCCACTTCTCCTTCGCATGTGGGAGTCATTCAACTCGTCCATCATTGATGGCCATATGCTGAGCTTGGTCTCTACGTTGGCTGCCGCGCACACGACGGAGCCGAAGCTCTCGTCAGAGAATGCAATGCAAGCGCACGGCGCCCTGGCTGACAAGGTGCAGGGCTCGAAGAGAGGCCACGACTTGGACAGCACAACGGAAGACAGGATCATGGAGGAGCTCAAGGCCAATCCGGCTTCAGAGGCACTCAGACAGCCTGCTTTGGAAGTGGGCATTTTTACGGAAGACCAATTCTCTTGGATTATGAACAAATGCTTGCAATACTTTGCGGACTCGCAAGGATCGAACGAGGTGCGTGAGCGAAGAGCAGACGGCATTGCGCGGACGCTTACAATGCACTTGCTCTCTTTCGCCAGTTCGCTGGGCAAGCCATTGCCAGACAGCATGCGGCTCATTCTGCTGGAACAGGCAAGAGCAAAGGTCTGACCCCATACGACAAAATGGAAAAGCTGGCGATACTTTGCGCATACTGTCTGGCCGAAGACGGT